CACAGGGACTGGCATCTGAGAGGGGCTGTGAGAGTGAGGCTGGCTTTGTGCTTCTCCTTGTAGAGGCAGGCACGTGCCTTCGAGTGCTCCAGCTCACAGCACCCCCTCTCCTTGGAGAACCATTGCAGATGCTCAGACGGTCCCTTTTCGCTTGAACAATCTCAGGGAAATGGTGTGGCTCTCATGACGGTAGTGACAGTGATGACATCATGAAGCTGAAATTCACCCTGTCGGGTGACGGGTGCACTGAGTCACCGGACCCATAGGTGAACTGCACCTGCCACAAATCAGCGGCAGAATCGGCAGCCACCCGTGGAGCCAGTCACCCTGGTCTAGTCTCAGGTCTGAGCGACACACCTTTGTCTCCAGCCAGTGACATCACCCCTGCCCCTTGACCTTGGCCTCCAGCAGCAGAAGCAGGTTCCCGGTTGCCGTGTAATGGTCTCGCCCGGTGCCTCCCAGGACTCGGAGTGACCTTTTCTGCTTTCAGATTCATTCATTCCCCTTCCCGGCAGGTCACACCCAACCTTAGCCAAATGAGCAGCGATCTTTAAAAAAACACACACCACCATCTGGCATGAAGACTTCTTTACTCCTTATCCGCTTACATGGGAATCTTGCATGATTTTCAGATTGTTGTTATTTTTTTTAATCTAATTTATTTTTTTATTGATTTCAGAGAGGAAGGGAGAGGGAGAGGGAAAGAAAGAAATACCAATGATGAGAGAGAATCATTGATCCGCCACCTCCTGCTCGCCCCCTACTGGGGATCGAGCCCACAACCCAGGCATGTGCCCTTGACCGAGAAACGAACCATGACCTCCTGGCTCCTAAGTCCAAGCTCAACCACTAAGCTACACCGGCTGGGCAGTTAGTTTTATTTATTTATTTATTTAATTTATTTTTTAAAGTATATTTTTATTAATTTTTTACAGGGAGGAAGGAAGAGGGATAGAGAGTTAGGAACATCGACGAGAGAGAAACATCCATCAGCTGCCTCCTGCACACCCCCCACTGGGGATGTGCCCACAACCCAGGTACATGCCCTTGATTGGAATTGAACCTGGGACCTTTCTGTCCACAGGCCGGCGCTCTATCCACTGAGCCAAACGGGTTTCAGCAAGTGTTATTTTTGCCATTTATGAATGTCAACACGGATCAGTTGCTTTTCTCTAGTGACACACTCTGAATGACGGGTGACAGTGTAGCTCTGGATTCACTGGTGCTAGAGCCAGTGGGAGCGTGGGCCCCAGAGGGCTGGGAGCTGGTGGCAGGCCTGCCAGCGTGTGCTTGGGAGCCGGGAGACGGTCCCTCGGGAGTGGGAGGATTGCTTGGTTTTCATGGACACGGTTTTGTTTACTTGGTATTGAGCTTTCAGCCCTGCTGAGTTTCTTACTTCACGGGAGTCCCAGACTACAAGGCTCTGTCTTCGGTCAAAAATAGCTTTTGTGCATCCATTTATTAGGACCACCCCTGGCCTTGGGGAGATGAGTCGCTTGCACTAGTGTGCTTAGAGCAACAGGAAGTAGGGTAATGAAGGGCTTCTACACGCTCCTGGATTTCTGGACCAGCCTCTCTATCCCTCTAATGAATTGGATGGCAGTAAATAAATACATAAGTAAATGAAGTAATAAGTTGGATGGGAATGGCGATCATCTGACCCTATCCCTACAACCTGCCCCTCTGGTCATCCTCCTTCATCACTCCAGATTCTTCCAGAGAGGAAGGGAGAGGGATAGAGAGTTAGAAACATCGATGAGAGAGAATCATCGATCAGCTGCCTCCTGCACAACCCCTATTAGGGATGTGCCTGCAACCAAGGTACATGCTCTTGACTGGAATCGAACCTGGGACCCTTCAGTCAGCAGGCCGAAGCTCTCTCCACTGAGCCACACCGGTCAGGGCCCCTTCAGATTCTTCACTCTTTCCCCGTACCCCCAAGCTGTTCATGCCCACCTGTCCTCCAGGAAATCATTCCTGGCTTCTCCTCTGAGCTGGCATTGAGCCTTGCTGGGTGTCTGGGACCGGTGGCTGGCCCGTGGCAGTCGGCCTTTCTGTGTGTTTGTAGTAAGCAAGCATCTGGCTTCACGGCGCTGGCGTTTGTTTGTACACCTACCAGTGTGTTTACTTCTACGAAAGAGGAGCAAGAAGAGGCAAAGCAGTCACCGGCCTGCGTTCTCTCCCATCGACTCCGTGGCCCCGCAGAGAGATTGTCCTGTGGATGGTTGTTGGGTGGTTGTGTGTGCGGTCAAGGCGAATGGATGGAGCTCCCTGCCCCCTCCTCCACCAGAGCACGCCTGAAACTGGTCTGCGGTGGAAGGGCGTGGCTCTCGGCCTGGCATGGCTGCTTTCCTGACTTCACTGCCTTGGTGACTTTGTACGGGTCACTCCCTCCCCGCTTCAGTTTCCTTATCAATAAAACCACTGGGCTAGGCCAGGTAATCTCTGACATGCCTAAAAATGGAGCAGAGAGGAGGGCCATAAAAGAGAACTACTGATTAAACAGCCTTTCTGAACTGAGCGGTCACACTGCAGGGACCAGCAAGGCTCTGCCATGGAGCCTGTCCCACGGCCAATGGCCTTGCTAGGAAGCCAGGCTTGGGGTGCCCTGTCCATGGGGCTGGCTTTCCCTCTTCCCTGAATCCTGGCTTCCTGAGTTCTGGAAGCTGACCACTCGGGAGGCAGAGACCAGGACCGCCTGACTGTGTGGTCCTGCCAGATCCTCGTTTCTCCCAGCCTGGTCTGGAAGACGGGGGGCGGCTCTACTCATGAGTGATTCCAGGATTGATTGATGCGAGGCTCAAGCAAGAAAATAGTTGTGAAATTACTCTGTAAATTGAAAAGAAAAGCAATAAACAGTAATTTTTCTTACATTTCTTCTAACACATACACATGTTTATACAGTCTGTTTAGAGAGTCTAGCTCTAAATCCTTATTTTAAAAAAAAATCTTCAAATATGATTAGACAACCAAGGACCATTGGCCATTGAAAGAAAACCAATAGCCTGAAAGAGAAGGACAAAGTTCTGAAGAGAATGATGAAATATATATATATATATATATATATATATATATATATATATATATATAGTTGGTAACCTTAGAAAGAGCCAGAAGGCAGTGCGTTCATAAAACAAAAGAAGACTGCCCAATAAAGTAACCATCAAAGAATAAAGCATCCTTCTTGGAAATGGAATAAGTGGTTTTTGAAATTTAAAGAAAAACACGCATTGCCTTTATAGTAGTTCCAGACAATAGCTATGAGAAAGGACACAGAGCTGTAGGAGGGAGGCTCCCAGGAGGAAAATTAAAGAAGAGGCTATTTGACAGACTTTATATGTGGAGGATTAGAAGAGTATTACACAGCTCTTCGATTGTATGGAAAGACTTGTGTGTGTGTTAAAAAGAAACTCAGTGAAAGAATATTTGCAGCAGGAAAAGCAAAATATGTTTCTCTCATCTATGTATCTATGTTTCTAACTCTATCCCTCTATCTTCCTCTCGGTAAAAAATCAATAAAATATATATATATATTAAAAAGCGGTAGTATTACTGGCATATAACGTAGAAATATGGGGACAAATTCCAGAACAAGCAGTTTGCCTCTGGGTGTGTTTCTCATCATTTTTTTCAAATGTATTTTTATTGAGGTATAATTGACATACAATAGTGCATAAGTTTATGGTATACAGCGTGTTGATTTGGGCAATATCCACTCTACATTTTAGTTGTATTCCATTGAAATTGTTGTGTGCTGCTGCGGTTAGGTGTCTATCTGAGCAGCCATCTTGGATCCTCCAGCGTGTTGATTTGATACATTTATGTGCTGCGATATGATTACCATGGTCAGGTCAGCTGTGGAGTGTGTTCCTGTGTGCGATATCACATAAAGTCACAGATACAACCAGTTAGGAAACTAAAAACTTAGAGATAAAAGTATCCAGATGTGACAGGAATGGGGAGAACCTTTCTTAGAGAAGGTTTAAATGGGACAAAAAAAGAAATGGCCGTTCAAGCATGTTATATAGAGTTCTGAGGTTAACACCAGAAAAACGACGTCTGGACACGGTTAAAAATGGCACACCTGTGGAAATTGGGGTGCGGCTCTCACTTTTATTACAATTGCATTTGCCGTGGATATGAGGTAGTTAAACCTAGGAACCGTCCAATTTCATAACACATGGCTCCTCTGCAGGATTGAAGACAGGCAGATCACATGTTAGAAAAGTTCACCTGTCCCATCCTCACATGCTCCTTCCTCCCCCCCCCCCCCCCCCCCCCCCCGCCGCTTCCTGATACCCCTTTACAGGGAAGACTCCAGGAAGCGCTATCCTGTTTGTGGGAAGGTGTTTTTGTCGTTGTTTATTTAATACATTTTTATTATTGATTTTAGAGGAAGGGACAGAGATAGCAACATCCATGATGAGAGAGAACCATTGATCGGTTGCCTCCTGCATGCCCCACGCCAGGGATTGAGCCTGCTACCTGGGCATGTGCCCTGCCCGGGAATCGAACTGTGACCTCCTGGTTGATAGGTCAGCCACTGAGCCACGCCAGCCAGGCTGAGGGACATTTTGTTGTTTTTCCGGCTCTCGGGTCTGAGCACGAGTGTGGATTCCACTAGAGACATGACCTCCTCACCTTGAACTCGTTCCCTCGGTCCCCTCAGGCTGAAGGCAAGGTGGCTTGTTCCACATGGCACGGCCAACTGGTTAAACATTGGTGAAGCACGGCCACTGGGTGGGGTGTACAGTGTGCCAGTCTGTGCTGCCCACAGGTGCAGGGGACCGGTTGGGCCTGGGACCGGAGGGGCCTGGAGCAGGGGCTGCCTTTGGAAGCTTGCACCGAGGCACCGGGTGGCCAGTCGTGGCCCCCGCTGGGCCTCTCCCTGTGCCGGAGCGGGTTCATGCACGTGGACAGCTGCAGTGACGGGGTTTGCACGCGGGGCCGGCGGGAGAGTGTCTGAGCTCTGGTCTTAGCCTGTGCCTTCCTCTCTGCAGAGCATGCATGCCTTTGAGGAAGGCCTGGAGTTCCTGCCGGTCAACAACACCAAGAAGGTGGAGAAAGGAGGCCTCAGGCCCTGGGTGGTGCCCGTGGTTGTGCTTGTGATCCTGCTGGTCTCTCTCACGGCTGGTTTCCTGGTGTGGCACTTCAAGTGTGAGTATAGCTAAGGGGGGAGGGAAGGACTGACCCAAGGCCCGCCTCCTTTTTTTTTTTTTTATAATATATTTTATTGATTTTTAAAAAGATATATTTTACTGATTTTTTACATAGAGGAAGGGAGAGGGATAAAGACTTAGAAACACTGATAAGAGAGAAATATCCATCAGCCGCCTCTTGCACACCCCCTACTGGGGATGTGCCTGCAACCAAGGTACATGCCCCAGACCCGAATCGAACCTGGGACCTTTCAGTCAACAGGCCGACGCTCTATCCACTGAGCCAAACCAGTCAGGGCTAGGGCCCGAGTCTTATGGACACGAGGGAGAGAATGGAGGCACAGCGGGGTAGGTGAGGGGAGTCTGAGACGCTGTCTGCCTTTCCTCTTTCAAGTCGTGGGCGGTGGGTGAGGAATTGGTCAGAGCTGGCCCACAGCGCTCAGGTCCACAGGCCGCTCCTGGCACCCATTGCCCCGGTTGTCAGCAGTTCTGTTGCTTTTCCTGCTTGGGTCTGAGCATGGTTGTGAACCCCATGGGGACCTGGCCCACCATCCCCACGCCCTTTATCGTCACCCCTCTCACCCCTTACGGCTGCAGAGGGCAGCTTGTGGACACTGGGGGATGGGACAGGGGTGATGGCACTTCCTCTGACTGTTCTCCTTCCCTGGCCTTGCACAGACCGGGACGTGCGGATCCAGAAGGTCTTCAATGGCTACCTGAGGGTCACCAACGAGAACTTTCTGGACGCCTACGAGAACCCGAACTCCACCGAATTCGCAGAGCTGGCCGGCAAAGTGAAGGAGGCGGTGAGTCCGCGTCCTGGGCTGGAGCCCTGTCCCAGCTGTATCTCCCTGGGCCGGTGCGGGGCACGGGAGGGCACCGGTCCCAGGATGGAGGGAGCGGCTGGGGCTGGGGGCAGAGGTGCTGGCCTCCTTGAACCTCCTCTTTTCCCGCAGCTGAAGCAACTGTACAGCGAGATATCCGTCCTGGGGCCCTACTACAAGGACTCCACAGTGACTGCCTTCAGGTGGGTGCTGTGGGGGAATGGGTGGAGGGTGGGGTGGGGGGATGGGATCTGTGCCCTGTTGTAGGGATCTGTGCCCTGTTGTAGGGGGGCAAGTGCCTGGTGGCCAGCAGGGCGATGCAGCCACGAGGCCCTGGGTTGGGGAACCAAGTCCTGTTCTGTCTGCAACTGTGACAGCTTCTGTCTGGGCCGGGCCGCTCTGAGGGACCCGCACGGTGGTGCAGGAAGTGTCCTGGGGCGCAGAGGGGGGCTGTGGGAGCCGGGCGGGCGCCTCTGGTGGGCGGGGCCTCTGGGCCACGTTGGAGACAGTGTGTGTGACACAGGCCACTGCACACTGGCTGGCAGCAGAGGTAAGGTGACCAGATGTCCCGCTTTTGGCAGGGGGACAGTCCTGATTTTTAACAATTTGTCCCGAGTCCCGCAGTGTTTTAAAAAAGTCCTGATTTGCCAAGACCGGTTTGGCTCAGCGGATAGAGCGTCAGCCTGTGGACTGAAAGGTCCCAGGTTCGATTCCGGTCAAGGGCACGTACCTTGGTTGCGGGCACATCCCCAGTGGGGGGTGTGCAGGAGGCAGCTGATCGGTGATTTTCTCTCATTGATGTTTCTAACTCTCTACCTCTCTCTCCCTTCCTCTCTGTAAAAAATAAATAAAATGTATTTAAAAAAGAAAAAAAAAAAGTCCTGATTTTTGGAAAGATTCTTTTAAATCTTTTGGACTTTTTTAAAACGTCGCGGGGACGTGGGACAAATTGTTAAAAATCGGGACTGTCCCGCATCTGGTCACCTTAGGCAGAGGGCAGGTGTGGCGCTGGGTGGGGGCTGTGGCAGGAGGGCACCAGGCAGGAGGGCACTGGGCCAGCCACTTACACTGCTCCGGAGTGCTCGTGCCCCTTTGCTACTTTCCACACGTGGGTTTGGGTCCGCACTGGGGCCTCGGGGAGAGTGGGGATGCGTGGAGGGGTGCCCCGAGCCCACGCCCCTCTCCGCCTCGGGCCTCTCCGCAGCGAGGGCAGCGTCATCGCCTACTACTGGTCGGAGTTCAGCATCCCCAGCCACCGGGTGGAGGAGGCCGAGCGCGTGATGGCCGAGGAGCGCACCATCCGCCTGCCGCCCCGCGCCCGCACCCTGAGCTCCTTCCTGCTGACCTCGGTGGTGGCCTTCCGTGAGTGCGGGCCTCCGGGCTGGGCTGCCGGGAGTGGGCAGTAAGGGGCCAGCCCGGGTGGGAGCAGGGGATCACTGCAAGAGCTCGCTCTGCTCTGCAGCAAGATAAGACTCGAGCTGGGCCGAAACCAGTGTGGCTCAGTGGGTAGAGCGTCAGCCTGAGGACTGAAGGGTCTCAGGTTCGATTCCCGTCAAGGGCATGTGGGCACATCCCCAGGTGGGGATGTGCAAGAGGCAGCTGATCGATGATTCTCTCTCATCAATGTTTCTAACTATCCCTCTCTCTTCCTCTCTGTAAAAAATCAATAGAATATTAAAAAAAAAAAAAAGACTAGCTGTCAAGGGCATGTACCTTGGTTGCGGGGCACATCCCCAGTAGGGGGTGTGCAGGAGGCAGCTGGTCGATGTTTCTCTCTCATCGACGTTTCTAACTCTCTATCCCTCTTCCTTCCTCTCTGTAAAACACCAATAAAATGTATTTTTTAAAAAGAAAGACTCGAGCTGGCTCCTTCCCCGGGGGAATAAGGAAGCAGGAAGGAGGAAAGGGCCCGGCCAGTAAATACTCGATTCTCCCTCTTGTATTTCAGCCACTGACCCCAGGACAGTGCAGACCGCCCAGGACAGTAAGTACCAGGCCCTCCTCCTCGTGGTGGGCTGGGATGGGGCTGGAAGCCCTTCCATTCAAGGGGTCCCCACAGGAGGAGGGGGTTGGTCCCACCCTGATGACAGCCAGCACATACAGCCCTTCGCCTGTCCCAGGCCACGAGATGCTGCTTCCCGGTCTGTCCTAGCCCGTGGCACTCTGGGGGCACCTCTACGGGACTCTGTCCCCACCAGCTCTGCCCGGCTCTGCCTCTCCCCCTCTGTTTCCCGCAGACAGGTGCAGGTTCGCCCTGCACGCCCGATGGGGAGAGCAGACCCGCTTCACCACGCCCGGCTTTCCTGACAGCCCCTACCCGGCCTTCGCCCGCTGCCAATGGACCCTGCGGGGCGATGCCAACTCCGTGCTGAGCCTCACCTTCCGGAGCTTTGACGTCGCGCCCTGTGACCTCCCTGGCAACGACCTGGTCATGGTGTATGACACCCTGAGCCCCGTGGAGCCCCGCAAGGTGGCCCAGTGAGTGTCCCGGGTGCAGAGGGGGGTTGTGGGAGCTGGTGGGCAGCGCCTCAGGGCCAAGCTGGAGGCGGTGTGTGTGACACAGGCCACTGCAAACTGGCTGGCAGCAGAGGGCAGGTGTGGCGTGAGCTCAGCGGAGCGTCACGGAGGTGACTTCTCTGCCTTGGCCGTGGTGAGGAGGCCATGGGTCCCTAGACACCAGTAAGCAGGGTGTCCCTCACCTGCAGAGCCAAGGTGCGCCCTGCAGTGGTGAAACGCGGTTCTGTGGAGGCTTGTAGGTCGGGAGAGGCTGCCATTGGAAAGATAGTTTGCTGCTCGGCTGGCGTTGACCTGTGAACCAGGAGGCCGAGGTTCGATTCCCAGTCAGGGCACATGCCCTGGTTGCTGGATCAGTCCTCAGTGAGGGGCGTGCAGGAGGCAGCTGATGAATGATTCTCTCTCTCACTGATGTTTCTCTCTCACTCTTCCATGGGTGTAATGTAATTATCTGTGTTTTCTGATGGTCTTAGGCTCTACAGCAGTGGTTCTCAATCTGTGGGTCGCCTAAGACCATCGAAAAAACACAGACATTTACATTATGATTCATAACAGTAGCAAAATTACAGCTATGAATAGCAATGAAAATAATTTTTTAAAACATGTTTTATTGATTTTTTTACAGAGAGGAAGAGAGAGGGATAGAGAGTTAGAAACATCGATGAGAGGGAAACATCCATCAGCTGCCTCCTGCACACCCCCTACTGGGGATGTGCCTGCAACCAAGGTACATGTCCTTGACCGGAATCAAACCTGGGACCTTTCAGTCCACAGGCCAACACTACCCACTGAGCCAAACTGGTTTTGGCTGAAAATAATGTTATGGTTGGGGGCCACCACACCATGAGGAACTGTATGAAAGAGCCGTGGCGTTAGGAAGGCTGAAAACCACTGCTCTAATGTTAGGTAGTCGGTGTTTCTGAGGGTTTTGCTGTTGTAAATGGACCGTCTTATCCTTACTTAGGCTAAGTGTGGGGTGGGCCTTTTGTGCAGGGGCCCGAGGTCAGGGTTGGAGTCCTTGGGCCCCCTCCGAGTGGCTTCTGTTCGCCCTCGCTAACGCCCGCCTCTTCTGCCCCCGCAGGCTGTGTGGCACCTACCCTGCCTCCTACAACTTGACCTTCATCTCCTCCCAGAACGTCCTGCTTGTCACGCTGATCACCAACACGGAGCGGCGACACCCTGGCTTCGAAGCCGTGTTCTTCCAGATGCCCAAGATGAGCAGTAAGGAGGGCAGGGCTGGGGGCAGGGGCAGGGCCAGGGCCAGGGCCAGGGCCGGAGGTGGGCAGAGGGAGAAGGGGACAGCAGGTAGTGGAGGGCTGGCCAGGTGGCTGACAGAGGTTGGAAGCTTAAGTCATAGGCCATTAGCCCTTCACCTGGGTCCGGAGCCCCATCAGCGCTGGCAGCCTCCCAGCACTGGCTGTGGCGCCTCCAGGTGCCCAGCTGCCAGGCCTGCAGCCGGGAGCCCTGGCTTGGCCTCAGGCCGCTCCACCTGTCCAAGCCGGTGCTCAATCCTCATGCTCTTTCTCCTCTTTCCTCTCAGGCTGTGGAGGCTACTTAAATGACGCCCGCGGGACATTCAGCACCCCCTACTACCCGGGCCACTACCCTCCCAACATCAACTGCACCTGGGAAATCGAGGTAGGAGCCATGGGGGGAGGGGAGGGAGGGGTCAGGATGAATGAGAGAGAGACTGAGGGAGGAGGGACACTTGGGATGGCACGTGAGGAGCGCAGAGGGGATGAGCTCTTTGGCCACCTCCACGAGGCTGCAGGTGTGAATCCCATGGGTGGCAGGGTCATGTGTGTCAAGGTCATGTGTGGCAGGGTCGTGCATGGCAGGGTCATGCGGGGCTGACCTGCTGCAAAGCCAGGCAGACCCAGACTGAAGTCCCAGCTCCTCTGTGGCTGTCGGCAGTGGGGGGGGGCGGGGCGGGCGTGGGCAGAGCCTCCGCTTGCTCTGGGTCATGTAAGAGGGCCTGTGGCTGCTCCCAGCCAGAAGTGGGGTGGGGACGAGGTCAGAGTGGCCATGTGCCAGCTGAGAGCACTTGCTGAATGGCCCTGGGACAAGAGTCCCGCCCGCAGGACTGCGTCTCATGTCCTCCCCACCCCAGATCCATCTGTTTCCTCCCTCCGTAATGGTGGGAGGACCTTCCAGCCTTTTTTTAAAGTAATAACTTTAATACGTTTTTATTTATTTCAGAAAGAGGAAGGGAGAGGGAGAGAGAGAGAGTAACATAAATGATGAGAGAGAATCATTGATCCGTTGCCTCCTGCACGTCCCAAATAGGGATCGAGCTGCAACCCGGGCATATGGCCCTTGACTGGGGATCAAACCCATAACCTCCTGGTTCATAGGTCAACGCTCACCCACTGAGCCACACCCGCCAGGCCCAGCCTTCTTTAGACTCTTGCCCCTGAGTCTAGAGTTTCTTCCAAACACGGCCCCCTGGTCCCTCCTGCTCTGGGTGGCATGCTGCCCCCCGTGACCTGAGAGGAGAAGCAGGAGCCACGCTCCCTGCCCGCCCGCCCCCTCCTCCCAGCCCCATGGCCGCCACGGACGCCCTCGGGTTCGGGGAAGAGGGAAAGAAGCCTCAGAGACCCAGTGCGTGTCTCTCTGCAGGTGCCCCACAACCGGAACGTGAAGGTGTCCTTCAAAGTCTTCTACCTATTGGAGCCCAACATACCCCTGGGCACGTGCCCCAAGGACTTCGTGGAAGTCAACGGGGAGAAGTGAGTGCCCGGGAGAGGGGTGCCGGCTGGGGAGTGGGGCAGCAGGTCAGTGAGTTGGGGGACTGTCTGGGGAGTCAGGGAGCGGGCCCTGTGCCCATGTGAGGGGACAGGGGTGTTCTCACCCCAGGAGGGTCCTTTACCTACAGTTGGCCTCCCTCCCTCTCCCCCACCTCAGGTTCTGCGGAGAGAGGCCCCAGTTTATGGTCGCCAGCAAGAGCAGCAGGATGACGGTGCGCTTCCACTCAGACCAGTCCTACACCGACACGGGCTTCCTGGCCGAGTACCTGTCCTACGACTCCAGTGACCGTGAGTGGTGGGACGCTCCAGGCTGCCTCTTCCTGGCGCTGGGCCTTCCTCGTCCTGAGGCCCCGGGGAGTGTGAGGCGCATGCCCCTCCGGCAGCCTTCGGAGGGGAAAAAGGCCACCTCACATGCATGCATTTTTAAAAAATATATATATTTTAATTGTTTTTTTTACAGAGAGGAAGGGAGAGGGATAGAGAGCCAGAAACACTGATGAGAGAGAAACATCGACCAGCTGCCTCCTGCACACCCCACACTGGGGATGTGCCCGCAGCCAATGTACATGCCCTTGACTGGAATCGAACCTGGGACACACACACACACACACACACACACACACACACACACACACACCGCAAGTCCGCAGACCAACGCTCTATCCATTGAGCCAAACCAGTTTCGGCTATGCGGTTTTTTAAAAAAAAGATATTTTTATTGATTTCAGAGAGGAAGGGAGAGGGAGAGAGAAAGCCCTAGCCAGTTTGGCTCAGTGGCTAGAGCGTCGGCCTGCAGACGGAAGGGTCCCAGGTTCGATTCCGGTCAAGGCCATGTCCCTTGGCTGCAGGCACATCCCCAGTGGGGAGTGTGCAGGAGGCAGCTGATCAATGTTTCTAGCTCTCTATCCCTCTCCCTTCCTCTCTGTAAAACACCAATAAAATATATTTTAAAAGATAAAAAGAAACCCCTTGCCACGCTTGGTGCACCTGGAGACCCTGCCCTCGGTGCCCGCGCCAGCCTGCCCCTCTCCGTTCAGGGCCGGGCTGGCCGTTTCCGTCAGCCCTCAGTGTGGCTGTGCGGTTGGCTCCGGGCAGGGCGGTGGGGAGGCGGGGAGTGGCCGCGGAGGAGCGGGGAGGCCCGGACCTCAGGCCCGTCCTCTCCCCGCAGCGTGCCCCGGGAAGTTCATGTGCAACACTGGCCGCTGCATCGGGAACGAGCTGCGCTGCGACGGCTGGGCCGACTGCGCCGACCACAGCGACGAGCTGGACTGCCGTGAGTGGGGCTGCGGGCCGGGTGCCCCTCTGGCCCTGGCTGTGCCCGGGGGCCTGCCAGCCGATCCGGGGAGAAGGAGGAGGCCTGAGGTGGCGGGAGGGTGAGCCCATCGCCGAGGAGACCTCTAGCCCCCCTCCCTCGCTTGGCTGTAGGGCACCTTGGCCCCCCTGGAGCAGGCAGCGCAAGGGTCCGCTGAGCTGAGGCGGCTCCGTAGGTGATGAGCCGGGCACCGGGTGCTCCCCAGGGACCAGGTCCCCGGGGAGGCAGTGAGTGACCCCCGCTGAGCCTCCCTAGCTGACTGCCGCCCTCACCTCCCCAGAATGCAACGCCACCTACCAGTTCACGTGCAAGAACAAGTTCTGCAAGCCCCTCTTCTGGGTGTGCGACACCGTGAACGATTGTGGGGACAACAGCGACGAGCTGGACTGCAGTGAGTGCCCGTGAGGGGCTGGCCGTGGGGGGGGGGGGATGCCCGTGAGGGGCTGCCTTGGGGGGTCCGGCTCAGCCGGGACTGCGACCCTGAAAGTGCTTGGTGCTTCCCAGGTTGTCCGGATAAGACCTTCAGGTGCCGCAACGGGAAATGCATCCCCGAGAGCCAGCGGTGCGACGGGAAGGACAGCTGTGGGGACGGGTCCGATGAGGCCAAGTGCAGCGGCGGTAAGGCCTGGTCCCCGGAAGCCGCCCAGGCGCTCTCACATGCAGAGGGAGAGCCTTCCAGAACGTGGAAGGCCCTCTGCAGGGCTGGAAGGACAGGGGGCGGTGGTGTGGTGCGTGGGTGGGTGGGGCATAGACAGGCAGGTGGCAGGCTGCCAATGAGGGAGGTCCCCGGGGGGACTGACTCTCTCCCCATGTCCTGCTCCCCACGCAGGGGCTGTCGTCACCTGCACCAAGCACACCTACCGCTGCCACAACGGGCTCTGCTTGAGCAAGACCAACCCCGAGTGTGACGGCAAGAAGGACTGCAGCGACGGCTCGGATGAGAAGAACTGCGGTGAGGGGGCCCGCCCGCGGGCACAGGGGGTTCACTGGGTGGGCACAGACAGAGGCGGAACCCGCCAGGGCCTCCCGCACCCACTTCTTCCCTGGCTGCTGCCCGGAAGAAAGGATGGCCTCGCCGATGTGTTGATTGGCACGGGGGCACTGCCCCACGGGCATGCTCTGGTCCGGGAGGCAAGGCCCAGGGCAGCCAGCACCTCCGTTGTCCTGGTCCTGGTGGGGGTGCTGGGCTGGCCCCCGCTTCTGGCCCCTGCCACAGGGGAACGGCAGGCCCTGGCACAACTTCCCAAGCCCTCACCCCACCCCATGCTTTAGTGTGCAGCCTTGGGTGTGTGTGTGTGTGTGCCAGAAGCCCTGGCCCAAGGCAGATCTGAGCCTGGCAGCTGTTCTCTGACTTCCTGTCTCCCGCCCGTGCTCCCTCTGAGCTGTGTCCTCAGCATTCGCCAGGGAAATCTAGGCAAATGGCCCCCTGGTAATCTAAGCAAACCGGCAGGTGTCTGCAGGCGCCTGAATGCATTTGTGCGGGTGGGGAGAGGGAGAATGTGAGGGCGTTGACCTTGGGAGCAGGGAAGGGGCCCCATGGAAGTCAGTGGGGTCTGAGGCTCAGAGTTCCTCACTTGTAGGGTCTGTCATGCCACAAACCACCCCCTGCGGGCTCCCCCTGGGCCTGCTGTGGGTGTCTGGAGCTGGTGCCCACCCTAACCCCCCGCCCTTCCTTCGGGCCCCGGCCCCCCGCAGACTGTGGGCTGCGGGCCTTCAGCAGGCAGTCCCGGGTGGTCGGCGGGAAGGACGCGGAAGAAGGCGAGTGGCCCTGGCAGGTGAGCCTGCACGCGCTGGGCCAGGGCCACCTGTGCGGGGCCTCGCTCATCTCCCCCAGCTGGATGGTGTCCGCCGCGCACTGCTTCGCCGACGACCGAGGATTCAAGTGAGCCCGGGGTGGGGTGGAGTAGGAGTGGGGGTGGGGGCTCTGGGAGCCCCTCCCGTGGGTTCTGGGGTTGGAAGGCCTGTGTCTGTGAGTCGTGAAGATTAGGCTGACGCTGGGGCAGGGCCAGGCTGGAGGGCTCAGACACCCCGGATGCGGCTACTCACAGCAGAAAGGAAAACAGGTCTCTCTCTCTCTCTCTCTCTCTCTCTCTCAATATATTTTATTGATTTTTCACAGAGAGGAAGGGAGAGGGATAGAGAGTTAGAAACATCAATGAGAGAGAATCATCCACCAGCTGCCTCTTGCACACCCCCTACTGGGCATGTGCCCATAACCAAGGTACATGGCCTTGACCGGAATCGAACCTGGGACCCTTCAGTCCGCAGGCCGACGCTCTATCCACTGAGCTAAACCGGTTAGGGCTGATTGTTGTTTCTTGATTAGAGTTAGGTTACACATTTTCGTAGGAAACACTGCCTCGGTGATATTGTGTCCTCAGGAAGCACATGGTGTCCGACTGGGAGAAAAGTCGGGTTGCGTGGTTAAGGTGGTGTCCCTGGGTTTCCCCATCTTAGAGGTACTTCCCCCGAGGCTGTGAGTAAGTAATCTTGGATGACACTTCCAATCAGTGTGAATATCGTGTTCCCCAACCATCTTTCACTCGGTGGTTGTAACATTTCTCAATGATTCTTTTTTTTTTTTTTTTTTTTTTTAATATATTTTATTGATTTCTTTTACAGAGAGGAAGAGAGAGGGACAGAGAGTTAGAAACATCAATGAGAGAGAATCATCCACCAGCTGCCTCCTGCACACGCCCCACTGGGGATGTGCCCACAACCAATGTACATGCCCTTGACCAGAATCAAACCCGGGACCTTTCAGTCCGCAGGCCGACTCTCTATCCACTGAGCCAAACCGGTCTTGGCTCAATGATTCTTTTTTAAAAAATATACTTTTTTATTGACTTCAGAGAGGGAGAAAGAGAGAAACATCAATGATGAGAGAGAATCATTTATCAGCTGCCTCCTGCACACCCCACACTGAAGATCAAACCCACAACCCCAGCATGTGCCCTGACCGGGAGTTGAACTGTGACCTTCTGGTTCATAGGTTGATGCTCAACCAGAGTCATGCCAACCCAGCTCCTCAATGATTCTTTTTATGTTTGTATATATATATATATATAATTGATTTTTTTACAGAGAGGAAAGGAGAGGGAGAGAAAGTTAGAAGCATCAACCAGCTGCCTCCTGCACACTCCCTACTGGGGATGTGCCCACAACCAAGGTACATTACATGCCCTTGGCCGGAATCGAACCTGGAACTTTTCAGTCCGCAGGCCGAGGCTCTATCCACTGAGCCAAACTGGTTAGGGCATGATTCTTGCATGTTTTGGTTACTGCTGTGGTGGGTACAAAATGCGATTTATCGTCCACTCTTTCTTCTGTGTTTATTCGATGATATTTCTGTAAAGAATACCTTTCCTCCTCCGCATTAATTTCTTGGGAATGACTTCTTAGACTCAGGGTGAACTCCTGGATTCCCGTTCCCCCTTCTCTGCTATTCAGCGTGTGCGGTCACGAAGCCCATTGTGTGTGTGCGTGTTCGGAGGATCCTGAGTTTGGCCCAGGAGCGCCTTGCCCTGCTGGCTCATCATTGTTTGAGAACCCACCCACTTCCGTTCAATACATGGTCTAGGCTGGCTTTATGGTTTCCTTGCTCCAGACCTGAAAACAGCCATTTCTCCCAGGAGCCTCAGTTCCTTTGGATGGAGAAGGATATTTAGAAATTAAGTTCTGGCCCTGACCGGTTGGCTCAGTGGATAGAGCGTCAGCTTACAGACTCACGGGTCCCGGTTTGATTCCGGCCAAGGGCATGTACCTTGGTTGTGGGTACATCCCCAGTGGGTACATCCCCAGACGGGTGTGCAGGAGGCAGCTGATCGATGTTTCTCTCTCATTGCTGTTTCTAACTTTCTATCCCTTTCCCTGCCTCTCTGTAAAAAAAATCAATGAAATATATATATTCTGCAGCACAGGGCGCTTCCTCTGCCCCCTTCTGGTTGGTGGCCCCCTTTTCCCACATCAGAATTTGGCCCCCACTACCAGTGTCTCGTCCTGATGTGTTCAGCCCTCTAGTAAACATGAGACACTTCCAGAATTGCTACCGCAATCCTGCTACCAGCAGCAAACCTAATAGGCCAAGTTCAATGGTCTTCCAATTCAGTTGGTACCTAGAGTAGATGCCATTGGGCTAGAAAAGCCTTTGGGTTGAGTTCTGTGTTATTCCTTCTGTGAAAGATGTGATTTGTAAGATACAATAAGGGTTTTTTGTTTGTTTTTTGTAAACAGATGAAAAATGAATTAAAAGAGGGAATGGGGGCCAATGTTCTATCCACTGTAAGCAAGTGGATAGAACTTGCTTACAGTGGATAGAACATTGGTCTGCGGACTCAAGGGTCCCAGGTTCGATTCCGGTCAAGGGCATGTACCTTGGTTGCCGGCACATCCCCAGTAGGAGGTGTGCAGGAGGCAGCTGATCGATGTTTCTCTCCCATCGGTGTTTCTAGCTCTCTATCCCTCTCCCTTCCTCTCTGTAAAAAAATCAATAAAATATATTTTTTTTAAAAATAGAGGGAATGGGGGATGAGCGAGGTGGTGGGAGACACCTAGTAATTTCCAGCTGAGGGTGGCGGCCAAGCAGAAGCCACACTCCCCTCCCAGTGTGCGGCAGGTGGCTCACGGGGCGCTCTCTGGCTCCCCCTGCAGGTACTCCGACCACAGCATGTGGAAGGCCTACCTGGGCCTCCACGACCAGAGCAAGCGCAGCGACTCGGGGGTGCAGGAGCGCGGCCTGAAGCGCATCATCAGCCACCCTTCCTTCAACGACTTCACCTTCGACTACGACATCGCGCTGCTGGAGCTGGAGCGGCCGGTGGAATACAGCAACACGGTGCGGCCCATCTGCCTGCCCGACACCTCGCACGACTTCCCCACGGGCAAGGCCATCTGGGTCACCGGCTGGGGCCACACCTACGAGGGAGGTGAGCTGGCCTGCCCCTCCTGCCCCCTCTGTGAGGACCAGGCTGTCCAGGGTCAGGGGAGGGTTTGAGGGGGGGGGGGCCGAGGTTTAGAGGACTGGGGGGCCGGGCTTTGGATGCGTGACTTGGGCGAGTTCTCTGAGCTTGTTTATTCGCCTGTAAAATGAAGATAAGAGGGTGTCGGTGAGAACAGTGTTAGAGGCCTGTGGGGCGGGGCCTGCGTCGGGACCAGTGGTGGAAGCCAAGCCTCCTCTCCTGCCTCCAGGAGGGCCCTTAGTTGGTAAATGTTATGTGGAAACACTCAATTCTGAGCTACTATAGCCGTGGTCGGCAAACTGTGGCTCGAGAGCCACATGCTGCTCGCGAGCCGCGGTTTGCTGCTCTGTTGATTAATGAGTTTGCCGACCACTGGGAGAGGGCTTAATCACAAGGAACAACAACAGCCTGTAATGATTGGAATGGAGAGGTGCCGAGGTCAGTGGGCGGCAAACTCATTCGTCAAAAGACGGGAAACCTCGGCTTGAGAGCCGCAGTTTGCAGACCACTGTACTATAGTACACTGCTGAAATTTGTAGACTATGGAGAGGAAAGAGCAAAATAATCTGACGTAAGGCATTTTGTGGTGCTTTCTTCCTCCTTTTTCTTTTTAATCCTCATCTGAGAATATTTTTCCCATTGATTTCTAGAGAGAGTAGAAGGAAGGGACAAGGGGAAGAGAGAGAGAAGAGAGAGAGGGAGAGAGAGAGAAACATCGATGTGAAAGACATACATTGATTGGTTGCCTCCTGGCATGCACCCCTCACTGGGGAACCTGCAACCAAGGTACATGCCCTTGACTGGGAATCGAACCTGCGATCCTTTTGGTTCAAGGGCCGACGCTCTAAGCACTGAGCACCCGCTAGTGCCGCTTCCTGTTCCTTATTCTCACGGCTGTTCCGTGGTGCACGGAGGGAGGGAGGGGTGTCTTTTGGGGTCGCACCATAGATGCATCATCTGTTCCGTAGCCGTGTGTCCGCCTCGGGCTCGGGTTGTGCCCAGGATGTTGCTAGTCCGGCTGTTGCTGTGGGAGCCCCTTGGAGGGTGCGGTCCCCATGTGGTGTGGCCCCAGGAGCCCGCCTGCCCCCCCAGCTCAGCTCCCCCTGCCCCCTCCCGCTCCAGGCTCTGTGGTGCTGATCCTGCAGAAGGGCGAGATCCGTATCATCAACCAGACGACCTGCGAGAAGCTGCTGCCCCAGCAGATCACCCCCCGCATGATGTGCGTGGGCTACCTGAGTGGGGGCGTGGACGCCTGCCAGGTGGGTGCCGGGCACCGGGCACTGGGCATCGGGTGGGTGCTGGATGCCTGGAGAGGTGGGTGGGACACTCATCAGGGCTTGTGTCTCTGCAGGGCGATTCCGGGGGCCCCCTGTCCAGCGTGGAGTCGGACGGGCGCATCTTCCAGGCCGGCGTGGTGAGCTGGGGCGAAGGCTGCGCCCAGAGGGACAAGCCCGGCGTGTACACGAGGCTCCCTATTTTCCGGGACTGGATTAAAGAACAGACCGGGGTGTAGAGGCAGGGGCCATCCAATGGTTACCCCCAACGTGCACCCCTGGCGGGCCAAGTACGGGATCGCTCCCTGCGCCCCTGCCTCGGGCCCCCCACAGACGGAGCTGAAGCCCCAGGACTCTGGAGATGGAGGAGCCGCCGGCAGAGCCTCTCGCCTCCCTCAGTCTCCAGGGTGGGGCCGGGAGGTGGGGAGGGGAGGATGGACCTGAGCCGGGTAGGGGGGGCCTGAGACCACAGCCGGGGGGCCCCCCAGCCCTGGGCAGCCGGGCCCTCCCCTGGACATCTGCTTCCTCGCCTCGGACCCAGGCCCAGCGCAATGCTGCCTCTGTGCGGGCTGGGCGCTGTGGTCCTGGGGACACTCTCGTCAGGAAGCCAGGCCCAGAGGACCCTGGGCGACAGACAGGCCTATGACTCGAATGGTTGGACCAGCTCCCAGCTGGGGTTCAGAGTGTGTTTGTGCGTTTGAGTAAAAGATTTTATTTCTTTTTAAGTAGTTTTGTTCTTGCTGCGGGACTGCCCCTGGAGCCAGGCTGAGAGTGGGGGACTCAGGGCTCAGGGCCTTCTCCGGCCGGTGAGGGCTGGGTTTCTGCTTGTGGCTGTAGCTTCTGAGACCAGCGCCTGGTGCCCTGCTTTGTCTCGGAAAGAAAGAAGGAAATAGAACTTTCCATTAGGTGGGGAGGTGGTTACATAAACGGTGTGTGTGCATGTGCTTACAGATGTGCGCGTGCTTACACGTGTGTGTGTGGGGGGGGCGTAGGTGTGCTTACACATGCAGGCATGAGGGGTCCTGCAGGCATGAGGGGTCCTGTGACCTTGGAGGAGCCGTGTTGCCTTGCTTACAGGCTCTCACCTCTCTAGTCCATCCATGATCCTTTGCGTTTTACTTAATTATTTAAAATGTTCTCCTTGCTTGGGGTAACCCAGAGGGACAGTGTCAAGGACCTAGGGAAGGTTTAGGGAGTTCTTTTTAAAAAATACTTTTTTATGGTCCTAACCGGTTTGGCTCAGTGGATAGAGCATCGGCCTGTGGACTGAAGGGTCCCAACTTCGATTCCGATCAAGGGCATGTATCTTGGATGCAGGCACATCTCCAGTAAGGGGGGAGGGGTGTGTGCAGGAGGCAGCTGGTCGATATTTCTCTTTCATGGATGTTTCTAACTCTCTATACTGCTCCCTATCTCTCTGTAAAAAATCAACAGAAAAGTATTTTTAAAAAATATTTTTTATTGATTTCAGAGAGGAAGAGGGAGGGAGAGAGAGATAGAAGCATCCATGATGAGAGAGAATCATTGCTTGGCTGCCTCCTGCACGCCCCACACTGGGGATGGAGCCAGCAACCCCGACATGTGTGCCCTGATGGGGAATTGAACCATAACTCCTGGTTCATAGGTCGATGCTCAACCACTAAGCCACACTGGCTGGGCAAATTCTTATTTTTTGAACAAGGGGCCCTGCATTTTCATTTTGTACAGGCTGCATAAACGGGGTAGCTCGCCCTGCGGCCTTACACAGGGTGTAAGGCTGGGTACCCTAAGGTGGCCACAGGGTGTGAACCGGGCAGGAGCAGGGCCTGAGGAGGCTCTGGTGGGGTGGAGCGAAGGCCTGCAGCCCGCTGGGAGGTGGAAATGACTTCTTCCGACCCCCTCGCTGCTCCCTGTGTGTTGTGGGCTCTGGGGGTCTGCAGGCCCTTTGAGCTGGGAGAGGTGGCGGGTAACTGCTCTTGGGTCAGGCCCTGGTCCCTGGCTGGGGTTCTTCAGGGTGACAGGAAGGGAGCCAGTAAAGCCGGCAGGAAACCCGGAGAAAGGTGAGGCTCATTCCCAGAGCAGGAGCGTGGATGTTTATCACTTGCTCTTACGCGGTGGGATTGCCTGGAAGACGGCTCAAGCCTCTTCCAGGGACTTCAGCTTTGGCCTCGGTGGCGGGGAGGGAAGATGCCCACAGGTTTGTGCCCTGGTCTTCCCTCTGCGTCTGTGCGGGGACACAGGCTCCTGTGACCCAGCTGGCTGCCAGGGATCGGCCTGGCTCTCGGAGGAGGAGCCCTTCTGAGCCGTGACAGGGCCAGGAGAGGAGAGGGAGCTGGAGCAGCCCTTCGGGAAGAGGAGGAGTGAGTGGGGCCTGGCACCTCTGACCTCAGGGGAGGCCTGTCTAGAGCACCTTTAGGTTCAGGTGCCCCACCCGCTGCCCAGGAAAGATGCAGAAGAAAGAGCAGCTTCCATCGGTCCTCAGAGCAGCGCTGGCACATCACGCTAGTCGCCCTGCGGCCTACGCTGCCTCCAGAGATGACACGATGCTCAATGGAGTCCTAACTCTTAGGACAGTGGTCGGCAAACTCATCAGTCAACAGAGCCAAATATCAACAGTACCACGATTGAAATTTCTTTTGAACCAAAACCGGTTTGGCTCAATGGATAGAGCCAAACCGGTTTTGGTCTGCGGACTGAAAGGTCCCAGGTTCAATTCCGGTTGGGGCATGTACCTTGGTTTCAGGCATGTCCCCAGTAAGGGGTGTGCAGGAGGCAGCTGATCAATGTTTCTCTCTCATTGATGTTTCTAACTATCCCTCTCTCTTCCTCTCTGTAAAAAAAAAAAAAAAAAATAATAATAATAAAATAAATAAAATATATTTTAAAAAAGAAAAAAGAATTGTCTTGAGAGCTGAAAACCGACTTCTGCGCATGGGCCACGAAGTTTCAATCACACTGCACCTGCACACCCTCACGTGGTGTTTTGTGGAAGAGCCACACTCAAGGGGCCAAGGAGCTACATGGGGTTCGAGGGCCACAGTTTGCCGATCACTGTCTTAGGGCTTTAAAGAGTTCCATGATCCCTTTCTGCTTTTTCCCAGTTCCAGCGTCCTGTGTGGGCAGCTCCGAGGCTCCCTCACCCTCCCTCCATTGTTCCCTGAAGCCATGCCCAGAGCTGTTTCCCTCAGAGGAGGACAGATTCCGCTGGCGGGAATGCGTGTGCGTTTTCCGGGGATGCCGCCCACACTCTCCCTCTCCCCTGGCGCTCTGCTTACTCCCCTGCATGTGCCCTTCACCTTGGACGTGTCACCGTTTCCCTGCCCACGCCCCCGAGATGGAGAATACCAGTCTCTGAGCCAGACCCCTCCCCTGGAACTGCATGTGGACTCATTAAACTAAAAAAGGGCATTCTTGCATCCTCAGCCTCTGCTTTTTTCCAGAGCTACAAGATCATGGTGGAGTGTGTGTGGAGATAAGAACCTCAAAAGCAGGGAGTTTCATACAAAGAATGCCCAGCTACTAAAATATGAACTTTGGGCCTTGGCCGGTGTGGCTTAGTAGGTTGAGTGTCATCCCATGCACCAAGAGGTGGCTGGTTCGATTCCTGGTCAGGGCACCTGCCCAGGTTGCAGGCTTGATCCCCAGTGGAGGGTGTGCAGGAGGCAGCTGATCAAGGTTGCCCTTTCACATTGGTGTTTCTCTCTCTCTCCCTCTCCCTTCCCCTCTCTTTCTAAAAATCAATAAAAACATATAAAAAAATAAGAAGAAAAAAGATGAGTTTTGGGCTCCGGAAAGGTGAGCATATTTGTTACCAGGGGTTCATCTTAAACTTCTTCTAAAGCCACTTCCTCAACATAGACTCACCCAGGCCATGGTATTTTGTGGAAGAGCCACACTCTAGGGGCCAAAGAGCCACAGGTGGCTCGCAAGCAGCAGTTTGCTGACCACGGCCCTACATGAACATACTCTCAGACTAGATCTGAATTCCATTCAGCCTTGACCTCCCAAGTACGTTCCCTTCTCCTCGGGGCTGACGAGCCCCTTCTGCTCTGTGCTTAGATAGTTCACGGGCCTGCGGTACAATTCCCGGGAAACCAGGACCCAACGTGCAGTCTACACTGAAAACAGGTTCTACAGCCCTAACCGGTGTGGCTCAGTGGATAGAGTGTGGGCCTGTGGACTGAACGGTTCCAAGTTCGATTCTGGTCAAGGGCATGTAACTTGGTTGTGGGCACATCCCCAGTAGGTGGTGTGCAGGAGGCAGCTGATCGATGTTTCTCTCATCAATGTTTCTCTCATCAATGTTTTTAACTATCTCCCTTCCTCTCTGTAAAAAAAAAAAAAATCAATAAAATACTTTAAAAAAGAGAGAGAGAAGAAAGAAAAGAAAAGAAAAGAAAGAAAACAGGTTCTACAACTTATTCAGATCACTGCGCAGGTCGCTGGGCACGGAGCTTGGGGAGAAGCAGGGGAGGCCGGGCTCAGGTGCAGGAGCTCAGGTGCTGAGTGTTGTGCTGGCTGGGCCCTGAGGCGGCATCTGATTCCCATTGGAGACTGGGTGGGGGCGGGAGTAAGGGGGGGGAGGATTCTCACCTGGGGAGTTGCTCGAATTTTCCTTAGATCTTGGCTCTGCTCATCCCTTCCACTCCCACCCACCCCGGCCTTCACTTCCTGGTGCAGAACTGGAAACCCCTCCCCCCCCACTACCCACACTGGAGCTGATGCTCCCCAGTAGCCGATGGCTGGGAGGGAGCGGGCCAGGTGAGAGTCAGCAGATCAGGGGAAGCGTTCCCACCTGGCGCCCCTGAGCAGCCAGGCATTTCCTCCGGCTCCGGGATGGCGGGCATTGCCGACAGACAGTGGGGAGAGGAGTGTGAGATGGGGGACGGCGGCCTCTCACCCACCGGCCATGGCAAGCTTCTGGTCCCAGGTAATTCAGGGGTGGGGCTCAGGCCCACCCCACAGGGAGGACCCGGTGGCGGGCAGGGAGCGGGCTCTTAGAGGGCATGGGCTACAGTAGGACTGCAGTGATGGGGGTGGGGGTTGGGGGGGGTGTTCTGAGCTACAGGGGTGCCCTCCAACCCAAGGAGAGAGCACACATGTCTTCAGATAGTCCTACTTTTGATGGAGAGAAGTTTTGTGTGTGCAGACAGAGCCCTCCGAATCCACAGGTTCTGAGGTCAAAAATACCCTAAAAGTTAACGCTGTTGCTGGCATAGGCTGTGTAGGTAGCCGACGGTGGTTGGGTGTTTGCATCGCG